CAGGATTTGAATTTTTTTTCTTAAAATTCATCTCCACAGCTTTGTCTCTGACCTGTGCAGAGATCCTTGGTCTTCATATTTTGAAAAAAAAATTGTTATTTAGAATCACACAGAAAACCTAAGACTAAGGCTGGTTAGTTGGCTGGTTGGCTGACTAGTTGGTTGGTTGGTTGGTGGGTTGATTGGTTGGTTAGTTTATTTCAGACATGTTAACTATATACAGACAATCATTTAATCAAAAAAATTAAGAAACAAAAGAAAAAGAACCTAAAAAGAAAAATTTAATTAAAAAGTGCCCAAGTATCACTACACTGTCTTGTATAGCTCTTGTCAAAAAGAGGTGGAAAAAAGTAAAATTTGGTTTATTTTTATTATGTTCTTTAATTTCTGGCTAACTTGTGCCCTTATTATATTAAATGGTGGATGAGTAAACATTTATGCAAAACAAAGTTGAAAAAACTGTGAGGCAGTTGAGTTTTAACTGTATTTTATTTTGTAGTTTGTCAGACACCAACAAGAACAAAAACTTTTTTGCCAAATGTTCATGATATTATCTTTATTCTGACACACAACAGCTGTTTAAAGGTATTATCATTGGTTCTTTACGGACAGGGTTTAGCATCGGCCACAGGTTCACAGCGGTCCACCACGGCCCGGACTTCCCCGATCTGTACTCCATCATAGGTTCCAGAGATGGAGGTCCACTGGGTCTCCCCGTTGCGGTACGTCCTGCTGAGCCGAGCTGTGTAGGGGATGTCGGCTTTGATTTTGCGTCCCTCCATGTGGACCTTGCAGGTGTGGTTTGGCGGGACCGTGAGCTCCACGGACACAGAGTGGCTGATGGACTCGATCACAGTGGTTCCTCTGGAGAACTGCAGCGTCTTCTCGACGCCCAGCTCAATGCCACCCGAGCCGATGAAGGGGATCTTGGCTGTGATGCTGCCTGTGATGCCCAGCATGGTGGTTCGGCCGATGTTCCAGGTGGTCTCCACCTCTGAGGTCTTGGAGATGGTGACGGTCTTGGTGATCGCCTGGCAATCGTTGTTGGTGACTCCGGAGATGCGCATGGTTTCAGGGGGATACTGAAAGATGGCGACCTCGTCGATGGCGTACTTGACGTCGGTGATGTGCTGGCTGTAGGCGTCCCTGTTGATGCTCAGGACCTGGTAGTTCTTGTACCAGTACTCGTCACCTTCCCAAGGCAGGAAGAAGGCCTCGAACTGTGGAACAACCTTTCCGAGACCATACTTGTTCTTCCCAACGTAGATGCCAACGCCCGCGCAGGTCCTGACTGAATGTTGCGGTATGGAGCCGTAGGAATCTTCTTTCCACTCCAGAAACTCAAAGTTGTCTTTGTTGGCCAGGATCTCAAACTCAGGGGCGAGGTACTCCCGTTCTCCGTAGGGGTACCTGCAGTACGGCCCCAGGCTGGGGTTGTAGAAGCCGGCCTCACACTTGTGCTTGCAGACGTAGTCGGTGCGCTTGGTGTAGCCGTTGTAAATGGAAACGGCTCCGTTGGGCAGAGACCCTTCCCAGGTCAGCCACTCCAGGTTCACGTTGTCACCGAAGAGGAAGGGCGAAGGAGGATCCTGCTGCTGATCCAGATCCGCAGGAACCAGGGGAGCGGACACGACTTTGTTGCTGCTTACTTCAGGGACGCGGTCCTGCAGCACCGGGTTCAGCCACAAAGCTGCACGGAAGAGGAAAAGACAACGTTTAGTGGGAAGAATTCCTTTAAACACCTTCAACTGAATTCATGTTTTTAACCCGCCTGAGGCTCAGCTGACTCCTTTTCCTGTCACTTTATTAAAAGTTTCACCACATTTCAGGTTTACCTTTTCGATGCTGCACGCTCTGTTTGACGATTTTCTGCAGGGAGGCGGAGGACAGAGCCAGCAGGGCCGGCAGCAGCAACACAAACAGCTTCATCTGCAAGAAACACAAACTCTTTGTCATTAAAGCACACAATGTCAGATCAGTTTGATGTAAGAAAGAATATAAAACACAAAAATCAGAGTTTTTTTCTATTTTAATGCAAAAGCAAAATAAACTCAAAACTAATAGCTAATATTTAAAATACATATTATATGCTGCAAATATGAATTCTTGTTTGTAATTCCCCTTCGATTCCCTGTTTTGTTGCTTTTAAAAGCCAAACTTTCTAAAACAAAGTATTCTGTAGTTATTTACTCATCAGGTTTATCTAAACACCTTATAGTTATATTGCTCAATTATGTACTCATTTTATCAATAATATGAAATTAGATAAATATAGTATTAAAAATACAGAGACATCAATTATTTTCTACATCTTGTAAGTTTTTCTCTTTGCATAATCAAAATAAAGCTGTGAAAATGATGTTCTGTGTAGAAATTTGTGCTGCAGGTTTTAGTTCTCGTGTGCAAAGAGTCTCATCAGAACTCACCCTTCAGTCCTGTCGCTCACCGGTGAGTCCACCTTCTGTTTTTAGGTTTATATAGCTGCTTTATGGCTGAATCATAAAGCAGATGTGGGTTTTTACTGATCTGACTCTGACCAATAAACAAGAGGAACTGACGGTCTGGAATTCATTTTCCTAAAATACGTTCCTGTTAATCTTTTTTATCAAGACATTTTCCTTACAAACATATTCACATTGAAAATAATTTAGTTAACAGACTGGGTAATAATTGCAGACAGGTTCTCCTGATGATTTCAAACCTAAAAATCTGCTGGTTCTCAGATTATTGTGGCACAAAAAGACTGAACATAAAACTATTTCGAAATGTATTTTTAACGCCTGATTTGTGCTATTTTAGTGTCAAAACATCATTCAGGAGCTGATGCTGTGATTTTTGTTTTCACCAACTTTAATGCTTTTCAAAATGTTCAACTTTTCCCCTCAAAATACATTCAGATCTCTTTGTCAAACATTTCTTTCAAATCTGCTTCAGCTTTTTTCTGCTACTTTTAATTAGCTTTTTGACACATTTAGTTAGCCTTTTCACTAGCAAGTCTATTTTAGCTCATGTTCTGCTTCTTTTAGCTAGTGTTGAGCTTATTTTAGTTTTAATTTAGTTTCTGTTTAGAGGAAATAACTGGCAAGTTGATTCTAAAAGCAGCAAAAAAACAACAGAAAAGGATCTGTGGTGTGTGTTTCTGATCAGCGTTCAGGTAAAAGTTCAGACTGAAGGTGATTTAACGAACGATGGCGAAAGAGAAAAATGAAGATCATCATTTCCAATAACCTTGATCTCAGGTGTCATGAAGGAATAAAAGCTGATAAGATAAAAATGAGAGAAACAGACTGATAAGGTCATTGATTATCAGTCAGAACTCAGTTTCACAAACTCATCACTTCTCAACTCATCTCTTTAGTCCTGCCAAACTTCACCCAGATAAAAGTCCTGAAACAAACAATAAGATTTATTCATTTGTTTAACCCTCCTGCTGACCCCTCTTGGCTCATTTTGAGCCTATAAGATAAAGGAGGTTAAATTTATTCTTGTTTATTTTTTACCACTCTTTAAAAATAAAACAAACCAAAAAATGTGACCACTCTTATTAAATAAAAAAATGCAAGCTTATATTATAAATGTTCATGGCGAAATTTTTACCAGAATGCCAGTCGCTATATGAGTTTGTGCTAATTAACAAGCTATAGTTTTTACTTTCTCATTCTTTCAGCAATAAGGAGTTAAATGTGTTTGCGTTGATTTTTAAAATTAACAATTAAATCCTTCAAGCTTAATAGAGTAATATAAAATGAGTCTGATGACGTGTAGCGCCATCTGCTGGACAATAATGATAC